TATAAATTTATTATATATATTATATATCAATTTTATACATAAATAAATTGCATTCTTAATTAGTCATTAATTAATAATCACAATTATTTTTAATTAGTGTATAATTATTATGTATGCCATTTATCTTTATATTCTTCAATTAATAAAGATTTATTTTGAAGTAATTTTATTTTAAAATCTTCATCTTCTGATTCTGTCTTAATTGATAATAATATACATCGATTTATTATTAAATAGTTTGGATTATCAGGACTTCGTTTCTGAATAAAATCTATTTCATCTCCAAGATTAACCTGCATTAAAATATAATATATTTTTGTTTTAACATATATGTAATATTTTTATTTTTGTTATAATACCTTTATTCCTTTTTTAAAACATTTTTTTCCATTTACACGTATATTACTCTTATAAAATTCTTTATCTATTTTTCTAAAAACAAAAAAATTATATAATTTTTATTTTATATTATTTGATATAAAACAATTTTATATGATATAATAATATAAGAATTGATTTCATGTTAAAATTTTGATCAATTTTATACATTTGTATTTAATAATTTTGATCTTTAATATCTTATGATAATAAATTATTTATATAAATCACTATTTTGATAAATAATAATTTGACATACGCTCGTGACATTCCAAATCCAGCTTTAGCAACAGTATCTAATCGAAGAGATGGTACTGTAGTTACTATTATTTTTGACTTTTCTGTATTTAAATAATCATCAACAGCTGCATCATTGTCATTATTATCATATTCATCATCATTATCTTCTGTTTGGTTTTCTTTGTATTTATTCTATATACATATATTTAATTAATATTTGACCAATAATATATCTTCAATTATCAAGATATAATTTTAATAATTTGTGAACATATAAATAAAAATATGATATTTGAATATTATAATAAATTATGTACTAAAATATATTTGTAATAAAATTATCTTACTTGTTTTGAAATCGTCTTTTTGCTATTGAATCTTATAAATGTTACAGATATAAAATTTTGTTGTGGATATAAATAATTTATATACAAATTATAACGTTTAGAATTAAACTTCGATATATTTTTTAATGTGTAAAATATTTGCGTATTTGTACATACTGTTCTTCGTATTACATTAAAAATTATCCAATGTAACATATTAAACGTTTAAAATCAAAAATATTTTAAAAGGTTAGATATTGTACGTAGCAATATTTCACGTTAGATTATGAACCTATTTTTATATTATATAAAGTTTATGAATTTTAAATATTTTAAAATTTATCAGTGCCAAGCTAGGTATCTTATTAAATATTTATATTTAATTTAATTTTTTAACAGAAAAAAAATCTATAAGTATTTTTTTTTTGTTATTGATAAAATGAGCTATTTTTAAATAAAAATTCAAACATGTATTAAATAAATTAATTTTTTAATATATTATATCACTTTTTATAAAAGATTCATTTTCATTTATTAGATATAAAATTTTTAAGATAAATTTTAGATAAAAATTAGATAAATATATGTTTTTAAAAAAATCATTTTTTCGTTTATCTTATATTATTTATCATACATTATTTTTTTATATTGAAATTACGTTTATTAATTTATAAAATTTTTTTTTGTGTTTTATATTTTTACAATATAAATCTTTATTTTATTTAAATACATTATACATATATTATTATGGCAGAAATGATATATTAATTTATTTAATTTATATTTTATCTTCAAAATTTTAATAATCGAAAAAATATTATTTTTATATAATTTCATAAATAATGACAAAAATTATATAAACAATTTTCTATAATTTTATAAATCATTTATTTAGAAATCCAATTGTATATAAATAATATAAACAATTCATTTTATTTATATTATTTAATTTTTAATATATTATATTTAACAAAGATTTTTAATTTCAAATGTTTTAATATAATTGTGATGATTATAAACAAAAATTAAATTATAATTAATTAAATAAACTATAATGGGACCTTAATTAAAAATCAACTATTTTTCATTTTGTGTACTTTATTTTAAGAAGTTCTTTTCAAAATACACATAAATAAAAATAAAATATAAATGCAAGTGGTATATAAAACATGCATTTATATAATTACATTTTGATTATTATTCAACATTGTAATTTGAATTTTTTTTAAGAAAATAGGATAGTGTTAAAAGTAGTTTTTTTAAATTTTTTTCTTTATATTCAGTTTTGTACTAACAGCAAAAGAGTTTTGAGTTCAAAGTTTATGAAAATAGAATACTTAATTTTTCAAAATTCAATTTTTATATGATATAATAATATAATTTAAATAAATTGTTTAATTTATTAAATATTATTAATTATGAATTAAATATAAATAAAATATTATTTATATTAATATATTATCCTCTTATGCTGTTTTATTAGTACAGAAATTAGAAATTTTACAGAAATTTTAAGAAAATAGATAATGTTATTTCTAAGATATACTGGTGATTAAATTTACTTAATACATGTACATACAGTGTATTCTAATGTTTTCTTATCCTTGTTTGGTTTATTCTGCATCACTTAAATTGATAATATCTTAAATTAGATCAATACTTTCATATTCTTTATTTTATTATTTTAATTTGATTATTTCTTTTTTTTTAATAAAAAATATTTTTTAATTAAATGTAAATGAATATAAATTTCAATAAAACACATTTCCTTTATAAATAAAATCAGATTTTTGGTGACTAGAATATTTTTACATTAATTTCATACATTAATTTTTTCTATGCAATAATATGTAAGTATATAAAAGATTATTATAAGTAACATTAGAAGTAACATTCAACTTTGGTTTGTAGCATTTATTACTGTTACTTTTTTATTATAAAAAAAAAAAAGAAAAAAAAAAAAAGAAGAATATTAATATTAAATATTTTTCATTAAATGCACAAGTTGTAAGTAGTGTAATTCATCTTACCAACCTGGATTCATATGGATTCATCATATTATTAAAAATTTTTACCAATAATTCTATTTGATAAATAAAAAATATCATATATACATATTAAAAAATAATTTACTTGCATATTTGATAGCTGCCTGAATTTAATTTTTTTTTTTCACTTAAAGTTATAATTAATAATTCTTATTATAATAAAATGCGAATAAATATGCGTTTAAATATATAAGAAAATTTTCAGGTATAAATAGTAAATTTTGGAGTAATAGCTTAAAATTTTTATTTACATTATAATACTGCGAAAAAATTTCTCATATTAATCTTAAAAATTAAATATCATTTAAATACTATTTAAAAAATTGTGCTTTGTTTTATTCTTATTTTCAATTAATTTTTATATGATAAATTTTATCTTTATATAATAACTGTAAAATAAATGCACTACTTACAATAAATGCAAACTTTACGTACAATTCCTATATAACATACTTCTAGTATTTGATTATTTCATAATATAATAAATGTATGTATATCATTTATGTACTTATGTACATAATATAAAAAATTTCTAAGCTTAGTTCCTTTTGTTTAGAACAATAATAATGTCTTCAATTGTGCTTTTTAAACTATTAAAGAAACAATTGTTTTATGTAGGAACTAAACATAAATTTATAAAATATTGTAACAAAAAGTATTAAAAAATGTTATTTTGTTTAAGATTATAGCATGTATAACAAAGTATGAAAAGCTTACTGCAAATATTTTATGACACTCTATATTTCAATCATATAATTAATTGTAATAGGTTGTACATATCTTGAAATATATATAATAGATATATAATATATATATAAGAAAGAAAAGAAAATAAAAGGAAAAGTTTAGCATTTTTAAAATTTGATTGAAATTTAGAGTATGTTACTGCTATGCTACAGTATGTACACTTAGCAAGCATTAATATGCCTATTCTTAGTTCATTCTCACTTACATTAGGAATTCTTTCCTGTTTTAAATATGTTAACATATTTTTAATTTACTCAAAATGCACATTGAGTACAAGTACGAATAAAGTATAATATTCAATATTTTTTTATAAATCTGTAAGCATATGGCACGCACGTCCTATTTTTCTATATTCTAAGCTTCTTTCCAAATATAAAAAAATAGCATGTTCACAAATGGTAGAATATTTTTAGACATCATCACACTATTTTTTTATTGAATCCTTTTATAGAGAGCATGTAATATGTATCAAAATGTGTTTTAATATTATTGAATATAAATGAAAATTATGTTATAATATAATATAAAGAAATTTATAGTAATAATTAATCTAAATATACATATGAGTGTGTAAATATTTTACATATAAAAAAAAGAATATTTATTCTATACAATATATTCGTTATAATAATATGTATTATTAATTTTGTAAATATGAAAATTGATATAAATGAATTTTATAAAAATAATAAAAAAAGATTAAAAATGTTATAATTATTCTTTAAATAAAGTTGTGCTATATTCTCTGTATTATAGGCATACTTTGCACCATATGTTTGTTACTGGTATTACATTTTCTTCATAACTCAATATATATTTTGATTCATTTCTTCTTTCTTTAATTTTTATGAAAAATAATTTAGAACCTTTTATTAATCAAATTGCACCAGTGCAATAATCAATTAAAAATTATATCTGCCACATCCATTAACAGGAATACAATTTCAAATGTAAAACATTTAAAGTATTCTATAATAAATGTTTTTCAGAATATAATTACTCAATAGACAGTCAAAATAAAATAA